AAGGCTAAAATCAAATTTTTTAAAAACTAGATTTTCATTATCCAAGACCCAACACAATGCTTAGAAAAAGAAACAGGAAATTTTTAAAATGTTGAATGAGTGGATATATGAATTAAAATCTAAAATGCTCCTAGAGAGAAGAGTGGTTGAATAAATTATTGTACATTCACAAAATGGAGTATTATGTAGCTGTAAAAAAAAAAAAAAAAGGAGTAGAAATGCCCATATGCTCTATGCGAGTTCCTGCGAGTTAAATCCCAGCTTCAGAGCCTAAATCCAGCTTCCTGCTATTGTAGACTCTGGGAGGCAGCAGATGATGGCCCTGGGTTCCTGCCACCCATGTGGGAGATCCAGACGGAGTTCCTAGCTTCAGCTTGGCCTAGTCCTAGCTGTTGTGAACATTTGGTGAGTGAACCTGTAGGTAGATGGCCTCTCTCTCTCTGTCCTTTTTGCCTTTCAAATAAATAAAATATTTTTTAGAATATATTTTTGGAGCTCAGCTTCCACCATGACAACATGTGCTCTGCTGATCCACTATCCAATGAAACTTGCAAAAATTATTTTTTAAAGAATCACTTAAAGCATTTGGAAACCATCATCAGGTCAAGTGAAGAAACATCTACCCATGAAAATTAAGAAAGGTGAGAGTATATTATATGAACTAAGAGAACTCCCTTCCATGCTCCACCCAAAGCAGCAAGGTAGAGACCCCACTCCAAATTGCTATAATGAAAAACACAGGACTCTCTTGCCTCCCAGCTACAACATGGAGATTTAACCTGAGAGAAGCAGGACTTCAGTTTTTCCCATTCTGTCCCTAGTCCCTGGTGCTAAATTCCAGACAAGTACTCTTAAGAGGTGGGGACTCCTTTATCCCAACCAGCCCACACAGACAGAACAGTGGCTGCAGTGTGCTCAGAGTATCAGAGCCCTAAAGCCCTTTCCAGAACTCGTGTGGTAGTGGCTCCACAGCAGTAGAATCAAGAGAATGTTGAATTCCAGCCCTCTGATCTAGTGCTCAGCTCCCAGAAAGAGGGACATTATTCAGAGAGAACCCTGTTATGTTCTCATTCCCACTTCCAGAGCCCTGGCTCAAGTATTTTGCCTGGAGACATAAAACAGATCCTACTCTCTTCCCAAAGGAACTGACTTCATTTGCAACTGAGCACAAGAAACTTAGGTCTTGGAGTCCTCTCCAAAACCATGGAGGCTGTCGTGAAAGGAATCATGGATCATGTGGGCTAGTTTGCAGGAAAGAACTGGGAAAAGTGGAAGCCAGAAGGAACCCTCCAAAGACAAACATCAACCACTGACATCAGAAACCACTTATTCAGGGCAGGAGTTGTGGCATAATGGGTAAAGCCATTGCCTGAGATGCCACCATCCCAAACAGATGCCAGTTCAGGTCTCAGCTGCTCTGCTTCTGATCCAGCTCCAAGCTAATGGCCTGGGAAAAGCAAAAGATGGCCCAAGCGTTTGGGCTCCTGCCACCCACAAGGGAGACCTGGATGAAGCTCCTAGCTTCAGCTTGGCCCAGTGTTGTCCCTTGCAGCCATCTGAGATGTGAACCAGAGGATGAAAGATCTGTCTCTCCCTCTTTCAAATAAATCAATCATAAAAAAAAAAAGTCTAGGAATCCCCTGTACCAGTTATAACAAGCATCTCACACTTTCAAAGCCTAAATCTCTGATCTCTTTCAGAACTTGTAACAGCACATGCAGCTCCTAGTATGCCCATTATTCCCTATTCTGCATTACTTTCAAATTCATCCCTTACATTCTACCTCCTCTGTGAGTGTCTGAAGAATCAGCAGCCTCTGTCTCTGCTTTCTTGGGCAGCAGATCAACAGCCAAGAGTAAGCGTTAGAATCAGCCTGTCTAAATCCAAACTTCAACTCTAATACTTAATCTGTGACTTTGGTAAGTTTTTCAACCACCCTGCCTGGTTATTCCACCTAGAGAAAGGAGACAATAATATTCTCAGGAATGTTATAAGGAATAATACATGCAATATGCTTATAACTGAACAAGCATTGTGTTATTGTATCTCATTCTACCTAATGGCATACTTTTTTACATGCATCTTTCCCTATCAGTCCCTGAACTGCTCAAAGGCAAGAAGTTTCTTATTTCTTTTCATATTCACAGCATGCAATACAGTGCTAGACACAAAATAGGTACATGCAATTACCAAAAAACTTAATTAAAAATAAACTTAGTCTGGCAATGTTAAAGGTTACAGAAGCCACATTTTTAAAATAAAAATTAGAGGGGACCAGCATTGTGGCTTAGTGGGTAAAACTGCCACCTACATGGGTGCCAGTTTGAGTCCTGGCTACTTTTTTTTTTTTAAGCTTTATTTATTTGAAAGGCACAGTTACAGAGAGGCAGAGGCAAAGAGACAGAGAGAGGTCTTCTATCTGCTGGGTCACTCCCCAAATGGCCTCAGTGGCCGGAGCTACACCGATTTGAAGCCAGGAGCTTCTTCTGGGTCTCCCACATGGGTACAGAGGCCCAAGGACTTGGGCCATCTTCTACTGCTTTCCCAGGCCATAGCAGAGATTGTAATTGTATTGGAAGATTCCAATTGGATTGAAAGTGTAGCAGCCGGGACTTGAACTGGTGCCCATATGGGATGCCAGCACTGCAGGTGGTGGCTTTACCCACTACACCACAGCATAGGTCGCGGCTACCTTACTTCTGATCCAGTTCCCTGCTAATTGCCTGGGAAAAGCAGCAGAAGATGGCCCAAGTGCTTGGGCCCCCTACCCATAGGGGAGATCTGGAAAAAGTTCCTGGCCTAGACACAGCTGTTGCAGCCATCTGGAGAGTGAACCAACAGATGGAAGATTTTTTTTGTCTCTCCCCTCCCTCTAATATTGACTTTCAAATAATTAATCAATTAATTAATGAAAATCAGAGCACATGGCTTAAATATATCAGAACTAAAAATCTGAATCAGGCTGCCCTGCAAAATCCAGGCTGACTGCCAGAACTATCTAGAAAGAGTCCAAATGCTCAACAGAGTAGTTACATAAATGATAACAATTCAACACAGGGGACTTTATATAACCATACAGGAGTCCTACGCTGATACCTGAGAGAGTCTGGACAAAATACTAGGCAGAAAAACAGCAGAAGAGAATGTACAGAGGATCACAGGGCTGTTTAAAGAGCAGTGATCAAAGAGAAGAGACTTTGTGTGTACCTAATACTATATGCTGAAAGTCTTTACATTTAAATTAATTTTGAATCTAAATACAGCTTAAGATATATATGATGCCTCTAATGCCTTTACATAAGAAACAAAATAAATGGAATGGGGCCAGCATTGTTGCGCAGTGGATTAAGTCACTGCTTGTGACACTGGCATCCCATATCGGAATGCCAATTCAAGGCCTGACTGTACTGCTTCTAATCCAACTCCCTGGTAATGTGTGTTTGGAAAGGCAAGAGAAAATGACCTGAATACTTGGGCACCTGCCACCCACGTGGGAGACCTTGATGAAGTTCTGGGTTCTTGGCTTCAGTCTGGACCAGCCCCAGCCATTACAGGTATTTGGGAAGTGAACCAGTGAATTGAAGACCTTTCTTTCTTTCTCTCTTTTGCTCCATATATCTCATCTTATTTCTCAATGCCACTCTGTCAAATAAATAATCTTTAAAAAAAAAAAAAAAAGCTTCCCTTTAAAAAAAAAAAAAACTAAATGTAATGAAAATTCCAAAACTTTAAATCCCTTGAGACACAGTGAGAAGGGTCAAGTTTCTTCAATAGTGTCTCCCGTTAAAAAAAAAAAAAATCCATCCATATACTTTTCTTATTGTCAATTCTCTTACTTCATAAATAGACTTTTTTTTAAAGTATTTTTTGTTATTGTTCACTGTGGGACAATCAACAGTCTGCCTGAGTTAATTATTCAGAGTTCTTCCTGATTAAGTCTTCTCATTTGGTATAATGAAAAATGAAATATACAACGTATATACTTGTACTCAAAGGTCTTCAGAAAGATCTTCATTTTCCCAAAAGTTATCCCCAAAGTTAGAGCCCAACTCAGAGAAAGAGTAAAAATATGCTTGTTCAAAGCCCAGAACATACACTTTTTATTTACATCTGTTTATTTTATAGCTAAATATGCAGTTACGTGTGTACACACACACACATCAGAAAAATCAGGTCACGAAACAATCTTTTCAGTGGACTTCAATAAAACGGCATCAGCACTAGCACAGGTGATGATGACCACTCTAACTTGACTCTCACAAACTAAATATGCATCTCAAAGCCTCCAGCCTTTCTCTCACAACCAACATTCCTCAAGTTAATAAAGGAGACAAGTGAAAAGTATAAGAAATCTACTCCAAATATTTTCTCTTCCCCGCCAAAAAAAAAGAAAATGCACTATTCTGAACATAATTCCAATCAACTGACAATTTTCCTTTAAGATACAGTTCAATAGACTAAATCTATTTAAAACACTTTTTTAATATTCTAATCAGATTTTCTTCTCAGACCCTTAAGTTCTTTTTGCCTAAGGAACAATCTGTCAAGACATGCAGCTTAAATCATTAACTACATAGCCCCAAATCTTTAGCATAATTAGCATGTAAATTTCACGAAAGCTGTGCACTCTTTTAAGTGTTTCAGACAACATTCAGCACAAGAAACTTTATTAAACATTTATGATGCTTTAATAAAAAAAGATAAATAAAATGCCAAAATAAAGTCTTTGTTATTCAACTTGTTGTCATGTGTAACATAAACCACTGATCACTATTTGTTTCTTCAACTGCAATTTTAAGAAACTGAAAACAAAACAAACACCACTGGAATTAGAAATTCTGTTTCCTTTGTCCAAGAATACCGTTTCATATCTGTGTCAGAAAGAAACTGCCGGCAGACAGCATGCAGGTTGCTGTGATATTTAACCTAAGCATCTATGCACCATTTACAAAGCAAAAAGCCCACTACACTTCATTCAAATTTTCAGACATTTTCCTTACCTTTCCCATTTTGCCACGTAGTATACCAAGATAAGGTAAGGAACGAAGTAATAAATGCTAAAGCAGTGGTTACAATTCCATTTCGGAGCCTCATCTCATTTCACCATCACACTGGTTCATACGTTTATGATGACGAGGACTGTTTTCCTTTTATCCCAAAATCAACTGTATTCAGTACTTCTGGCTCTAGGCCAATAAAAATCAATAGAGAAGTTTATTTCAGATGCTCCGCAGAAGGTATCTAGCAGTAATACCACTCACAACTGCTACTCAGGACTGTCACGGTCTTTACACACTGCTGTCTCAGGCTTGCTTTCTTCCTGTGGGGAGTGAGGGGAGAAAGACAAACTTATTCAATAATTCAAAATAAAGGTTTCTTCATTCATTATTCAGAACTATAAACAGATTTTGGCAGGGCTAAACTGTACCTATAAAGATTATCCCTACATCTAACTTACTCATTTAAAATACAATGTTGGTCCCTTCTTTCAAAAAGTTCATGGAAAAAACAATTATGAAAACCTGCATGGATTTCAAATTTTTTATCGCAATAAACTTTTTTTTAAAGATTTATTTATTTTATTTGAAAGATTTTACAGAGAGAGAAGGAGAGGCAGAGAGAGAGGTCTTCCATCTACTGGTTCACTCCCCAACTGGCCACAATAGCCTGTGCTGCGCAGATCCGGAGCCAGGAGCCAGGAGCTTCTTCTAGGTCTCCCACATGGGTGCAGGGGCCCAAGGACTAGAGCCGTCTTCTACTGCTTTCCCAGGCCATAGCAGAGAGCTGAATCGTAACTGGAGCAGCCAGGACGTGAACCGGCGTCCATATGGGATGCCGGCACTGCAGGCAGAGGCTTTACCCACTATGCCACAGTGCCGGCCCCTAAACTTACTTTTTAATTCCATTTTTCACAAACTTTTTGAAGTATCCTCCTACTAGAATTATATGGTCTTTATCCTGCAGAGAAAAAAGTTTCAAATGATATTCCTTCCCCCTGGTTTTGTCTTATCCATGAAAACTTAGGGTTACTTAAAGGGAGAGAGAAGTTATGGGACTCAGATTCCACGATGAGAAAGAACTCTAATGATCACGCAATGGCTCCTGAGTAACATAATCTTCATGCTCCCCAACTTTCCTATTGCATAACAAGTAATGTTTTTTAAAAATGTAAGAAATCAGAGTACATGTTGTGGCACAGCGGGTTAAGCTGCTACTTGGGAAGCCTGCATTCCATAGTTGAGTGCTTGGTATCAAATCCCAGCTCTGCTTACTCTCAGAGTATAAAGTGGGACTATTAATTTTTTTATAGAAAACTTTAATAAATATAAATTTCAAAAGTACAACTTTGGATTATAGCGGTTCTTCCCCCATAACTACCCTCCCATGCGCAAACCATCCCATCTCCTACTCCCTCTCCCATCCCATTCTTAAGATTTTCAATTATCTTTATATACAGAAGATCAACTCTACACTAAGTAAAGATTTCAACGGTTTGCACCCACACAGACACACAAAGTATGAAGTACTGTTTGAAGACTAGTTTTACCATTAATTCTCATAGAACAACACATTAAGGACAGAGGTCTGACATGGGGAGCAAGTGCACAGTGACTCCTGCTGTTGATTTAACAATTGACACTCTTATTTATGTCAGTAATCACCTGAGGCTCTTGTCATGAGCTATCAAGGCTTTGGAAGCCTCTTGAGTTCACAAACCCCAACCTTATTTAGACAAGGCCGCAATCAAAGTGGAAGTTCTCTCCTGCCCTCAGAGAAAGGTACCTCCTTCTTTGTTGGCCCCTTCTTTCCACCGGGATCTCACTCACAGAGATCTTTCATTTAGGTCATTTTTTGGCAGTGTCTTGGCTTTCCATGCCTGAAATGCTCTCATGGGCTTTTTAGCCAGATCTGAATGCCCTAAGGGCTGATTTTGAGGCCAGAGTGCTGTTTAGGGCATTTGTCATTCTATGATTCTGCTGTGTATCCCACTTCCCATTTGGACCATTCTCTCTTTTTTAATTCTATCAATTATTATTAGCAGGCACTGTTCTTATTTATGTGACCCCTTTGACAAAGTGGGACTATTTTTGCATATAGAATATGTAAAGGCCAGCGCTGTGGCTTAGTGGGTAAAGCCACCACCTGCAGTGCCAGCATCCCATATGGGCGCCGGTCCTGGCTGCTCCACTTCCTATCCAGCTCTCTGCTATGACCTGGGAAAGCAGCAGCAGATGGCCCAAGTGCCTGGGCCCCTGCACTCATATAGGAGACCAGAAAGAAGCTCCTGGCTTCAGATCAGCCCAGCTCCGGCCCTTGCAGCCATCTGGGGAGTGAACCAGTAGATAGAAGACCAATTTCTCTCTCTCTCCCTACCTCCCTCTCTCTCTTGTCCCGCCTTTGCTTATCTGTAACTCTGCCTTTCAAATAATTAATAAATAAATCTTAAAAAAAAAAGAAAGAAAAGGAAAGGAAATATAGCAATCCATGGGCCAGCATCAAGGCCTAGTGGATTAAGCTGCCCAACCTCTGGCTGTTGTAGCCATTTGGGGAGTGAACCAGAGGATGGAAGACCTCTAACTCTGCCTTTCAAAAAAACAAATAATTCTTCTTAAAAAATATATAGCTTGTTACAATGTTTTCACTCAGGAAATCTGGGAGAACATTACCCATCTAACAAACCAGTTGAAAAAATGGCAAGGAATTACGACTTAAGCATAGTGCCCAACACGTAACAGGTTTTCAACAAATGTTAACTATATTAAAAAAATCAAACATCAACAAAAATGCACCCAGTCCCTGGTTCAGTCCACTCTATGCACAGCCAGTCTCATTCCCTGGGGGCATGACAGGCACTTTCAGATGTGCATTGATTTCTTGTGGCCTCAAGGGTACCACAAGATGTACTTTGCAATATTCTAAATTACACTCTGCCGGGGATGAGTTAATGTACCTTCAAAAATGCCTAACAATCCCACGGGACACTTCTCTCAGTGGAAGAGTAGAGCTGCCATTGGCAGGCAATTCAGAAACTACTATCTCAGCTACTTCTTAACACTGAACATCACTGGAAACCTCCACTAGCTAAGGAAAACCACAGGACAGTATAAATAACAGCGATGATGAGAGCCACTAGCCACTATAACTCACTGAATGTTTCCTATGTTCTGAATCCATTATATGGTTTAAAACTTAACAAAACCCTACAAGGCAAGCATTTTTTAACCCTATTTTACACAGAGAACAAAGTCCAAACTGTTACCTACCACCTCTCAAATTAGGTCAGCTGCACATGGCAGTATAAAGAAGTGCCAAGGGCACCCTAGGTCTCAGGATGACCTGGAGAATCTTCCCAAAGTATTCAATCTTACCAGACAAGGTGAATGTAAACATCTGTTTATATTCCATAACAAACATGGGTCAATTATGGGATAGTTGCAAAATTCATAAGGATTACCAAAGTTTAAACAAACAACTTTTAAGCAAATTTCTCACTTCCTGTAGCCTTTGGTGAATGCCTTCCCCAGATCCCAACTAATTCACGCCTGTTAACTTCTATGTGACATTCTAGAGGCACTGAACCCCAGTACAAGAGGGGGTACTACTTCCCACTACAAGTAAGACTACCACCTAAGCACAAGGACCTCCAAAGATATTCTCTAAGTTATCACTGCTTGCTAAGACTAAATTTATCCACCTTTTACAGCCAACAAACATGCCTATATCTACAGTTTAGAATTACATATTCAAGGCAGAAAATCCAATCATTTTAACTAAAGCCCATAAAGTGCTTAATATATTAACAAGCAGCCAACAATAAATTCTCATTATAAAAACAGAGGTGATAACTCAGTGAATTATGTAACGTGGAATTTTAATACTGGTGTGGCATTATATAAAATGCTTAGAACTTTCTGTTGCTATATTCTTGGACCTATTTTACTCCAGAAAAGATTTTGTTCTAGTAAAAGACCTAAAAAGCATTCAAATTATTAGAATAAACATTCAACTACTAATAGGAAAGCAGAGAAACAGGAAATCATAAAATAAGGGCTATTTTAAAACAGCTGGATTAAATATAAACCCTGAATGATAAAATTTAATATAAATACATGGAGACAAATACGATGAACTCAAAGTCAAAATAAACCACAGATTTATTACTCACAACACATGAAAAACATAGAGAATACTAAATATAGGGACTAGGAAGTTATTAAACTCTGGTTTGAAGAAGATACGTAAGGGAATTCTACTAATAAGACCTGAAATTTTGCAAGAAAAAAATATGAACAAGTTTTCCCTCAGTAAGATAATGTAATCATATATTGAAATTAGGGTTGCCGAACTAATGGAGTTTAACCATACAGCACAAGTGATCAAACTCTCCAGGCAAGAGCAAAACTAATGAGCTCCATGCTCTGAAATCATGAGAGGCAGCTGAGATGCTGGCCTGTGAGCTCCAGGTGACCCACATTTTTCAACATTTCCCACATTTGCAAACACTTTAATCCAGCACCTTCATAATCCCCAAGATGATCACTTGCCAAAATCGAATCTTCAAACAACAACAACAACAAGACTACAATTACGAGCCATTGCTCCATCCCTGCAAAAAACGAATGGAACTTTCAACTCTGGACCTCAGAGTGAAAAGCCTGTTTTGTCAACACATTCAACAATCCTAATGTTTTACCAGTCTTACGCTCTATTATTGAGACCAAACCCTTTATTTTGTCTTAAAATGTTCTCTGAAATTATCACCCGGCTCCGTGGCCGAGGAGGACACTCGGTTGGACACTTAATCAGTGTCCTCCAGACACAACAGAGGGGCCTGAAGACGGAAAGGCACCATCCAAGGCACCCAAAAGCCATGACGTAAGCCTGGCTCACTTTATTCGCCACTATTCACTTGTTTGCCATTTCTAACAAGATAATATTCGCCTTTCATGCAGCTTACATAATTTCCCCCAGCTGGCGCGTTTTCGGATTTACACTTGTGGGTCCGAGAGACCCAGGTCGCGATAACCTGTGAGTAAAACTATGTTCCCCACCACCACCACCACCACCACCACCACCACCACCCCCCAACATGCAGAAGAAACAGAAGCCACAAAGCGCCCGCCGGATTCTCCAGCCAAACGAACGTCTCAGCCCTCCTTTATCAAACAACTCGTCTGACAGTAAAAGCCCCGGCAAGTGCACCTCGTGCCCATGTCCAACCCGCAAAGGAAGCGAGGGACGGGGCTCCCGCCGAGACACACACGACGTGGTGCCCAGGGGCTCCGACCGCCAGCCAGCTCACAAAAACACGCCTCCTCCCCGGCGACACCTGGCAACACCTAGCGGAGCCGCCTAGACCCGAGCCCGGGGGGCCGGCTCGCAGCCTCCCCAGCACGGAGGGGGCCGAGGCCTGGGGCTGGGGGTGCGCTCCCCACCCCCGCCCGCCCACGGGACTCCCGGGTCTTCACTTTGGAAGGAGAGCCGCCCCCACGGCGGCACGCGCGCCCCGCGCCTCTGGGCGCCAGCAGCCGGCCTCCGCGCCCCGATCGCCTCGCCCGCGCCCCACCTGGCCCGACCCCCGCTGAGGCGCCTGCTCGCCGGCGGGCGGCGGACGTGGGCTCTCCGGCCGCCGGGTCCCGCCACCAACTCTCCCTCCCGCTTCCCACCTCGCTCAAATCCGCACACTTTGCCCCACTTTCGCTCCGAGTCGACGCGCCCTGTCACACCGCCGAGCGCCAGACACGCACCAGGCGTCCGGCCGGCACCCGGGGAGCGCGCGGCTCTGAGGGGCGGCTGCGGCGTCAGGAGAGCGCCCCGCCCCCGCGGCCCTGCCGGCGCCCCCACCCGGCCCCGAGCGCTACAGGCGAGCGCAGCTCCCCGCGCACGGAGCACCCGGCCGGGCCGCGGCGCGGGCGGCTCCGTTACTAGCAGGTGGATCTCCCTCACCCCGGACGCCGCAGATCCCGGCAGCCGGCGCCGCCCCTCAGTCCCGTGCCCTCCGCGCAGCCGCCCTGAGCGCCCATCGCCAGGATGCCGCGCACCGCCGCGGACCAGAGCCCCCTCACCTGCCGCTGGCGTCGGCTGCTCAGCCGCGGCCGCCGGCGAAGCTGCTGTGGCCGCCTCTGCCTCTGCCGCCGCCGGCCGCCCCGCCCCCTCCGGCGCGACTCCGCCCCCCCGCCGCTGGGAGCGCCGGCCGCCCCGCCCGCGACCCCGCCAGCCATTGGCCGCCGGCGGCTGCGCGGTCAGCCACTGGGCGCCCCGCGCGGCCCGGCGCTGCCGCCAGTGGCCCGCCGAGCTGTCACTTAGGGGTGCCGTGGCGCAGCCTATATAAGTCTCGTGAGCGCCCGTCCCCCCTTCATTTACTGTCACGGCGAGGTGTGGCGCGGTTGCTCGTTTGGGGTTCCGGGCTCGGCGCGCTCGGCGTACTTCTAGCCTCCCCGCCACCACATCTGGCTTTAATCCTCCCTGGCGTGTGCAGAGGCCGCTCCGGCTGCCAACAAAGGCCCTGGTGAGACCGCGGCCTCCGCGTCGGCGCGCCAACCGCACGGCCCGGGGACCGCCCCCGGCTCCTTGCCTTCCTGAGCGGCGGGTTCCGTAGCCCGACCGTCCAGCGCAGGCAGCATTCGGGGTGACGGGTTCCGGCCCTAAACCAACAATAGCTTCTGAGGCCCCCAGTCACCCCGCCGGCGGCCCTAGCCATGGGCATCGTTATCTGCAGCGTATCCAAGAGGAACCCGCGACTCAGGGAGGAGGGATGAATTTAGCAACTAGGGAAAAATTAACATAACTAGGATCCACCTGCACATCTTGTGGGTGCTAATGGCCCTGACTTTTCCACTACATCACGTTGTTCTGCCTCTTCCTGAGCCCCAGTGTCCTAATTTGTCACCGTTTCGTAGACTGAGGTTAACTTCCGAACCTTACCTGGGTAGGCTCCTGTGTGGAGTCTCCATTGCTTCCGCTAGTAACTGCCGTTGGATACACAATCTCTTGGCTGTGCACTGTGTTAAAATCTTTCGTTGCATCATTCATACTTGAATCTCCGTTTTTCAAATGAGGAAAGAACTCACAGATGTAAAAGGACTTTCTCAGGCTGTCACAACCAGTAAGTGGTACCAGTGGGTTCAAACTCAAGAGCTGTGGTATCTTTACTGCTGCAATAATCCGACAAGATAATTTTTACAGGGAGTTCAGGAGGCAAAGATCAAGCAGACAGCCTTGTTCCTGCCAAGTTCCCAAAATAATAGATTCCTTTCAGAAAACAGTAACTCAAAGATTGAGCCGGCGCCGTGGCTCAATAGGCTAATCCTCCACCTTGCGGCGCCGGCACACCGGGTTCTAGTCCCGGTCGGGGCGCCGGATTCTGTCCCGGTTGCCCCTCTTCCAGGCCAGCTCTCTGCTATGGCCAGGGAGTGCAGTGGAGGATGGCCCAGGTGCTTGGGCCCTGCACCCCATGGGAGACCAGGAAAAGCACCTGGATCCTGGCTCCTTCCATCGGATCAGCACGGTGCGCCGGCTGCAGCGGCGGCCATTGGAGGGTGAACCAACGGCAAAGGAAGACCTTTCTCTCTCTGTCTCTCTCTCTCACTGTCCACTCTGCCTGTCAAAAAAAAAAAAAAAAATTGAAAACTCCAAGAGATGACATCAATCAGAATGGGTTGTTTTCTCAGCAACATTCTTTTGTTTCGAGATAACAGTAATTAATAATCAGCTCTGACATGCACAAGTTTTTCAGCTTCCCCACGGTGAGACTTCCCTCCTTGACTGTCCAAAGATCTTAGAAGTCCAGGAAAAGACACATCACATTCCTCCTGTGATCCCCCACCACTTTGGGGGAGCAGATAAAAAGAGGTTTTGTCCACTGTCCAGTGCCGTGGACAAGTCTTGACATGACTGCCTTGATGACTAATCACAGCTTGTCTTCCTCCTTTGAGGGACTGAGAGCCAGATTTCCTATAGCCTGTGACAAATACATTGCCAAGTAGCTAGCTGGTGACAGATTTCATGACCAGATGTAAGCAATAAAGACAGATCATTCCATATCATTTTGATATGTTGTTGGATAGATTTTGCCTAAAGTATGTCATAGGTATGGATGATACTAGCCTGGCTATACAGTACTGGTTGGATTTTTGTTTGTTTGTTTGTTGTTTTAAGATTTTATTTATTTGAGAGACAGATCTTCCATCTGCTGGTTCACTCTCCCAGAGGGTCACAATGGCCAGAGCTGGGCCGATCCAAAGCTGGAAGCCAGGAGCTTCTTCTGTGTCTCCCACGTGGGTGCAGGGGCCCAAGGACTTGGGCCATCTTCTACTGCTTTCCCAGGCCATTAGGAAGCTGGATTGGAAATGGAGCAGCAGGCACTCGAAGCAGCAAAGCTGGCGGAGGCTTAACCTACTAAACACAGCGCTGGCCCCTACAGTTCTCTTAGTGACAGACAAGCAGACTATGTCTTGCAGATGAAGTACCGCCATTTGGATGTTGGGCAGGGAGAGAGAGAGAGAGAGAGGGAGGGAGGGAGAGAGGGAGAGGGAGAGGGAGAGGGAGAGAAATAATAGCTGGAAGACATTTCCAAGAATTGGCCAGAAGACCAAGTAGCACAGATAACTATTATCACTTTTTATAGAGGAACAAACTGAGGCCTTGAGAGATTAAGTAGTTTGGCAAATAGAAATTCAGGCAACTAGTAAAGGATCAAATCAGAATTAAACTCCATGTGTGTTTGATTCCAGAGCCCCTACACCATTTGCTCACATCTTTTTTTTTTTTTTTTTTTTTAAGAGTTATTTATTTACAAGGCAAAGTTAAGGAGAAGGAGGAAGAGGCAGAGAATGGTCACAATAGCCAGGACTTAGCCAGGCCAAAGCTAGGAGCCAGAAGCAGCATCCAGGTCTCCTACATGGGTGCAGGAGCCTAAACACTTGGGCCATCCTCCGCCACTTCCCCAGGTGCATTAGCAGGGAGCTGGATCAGAAGTGGAGCAGCTGGGACTGGAACATAACCTATTGTGCCACAACACAGGCCCCACTGCTCACATCTTTAGCAATTGACAAAGTTTTGTTGAGTGGATGAATATTCAAAAGATGTTTATCTTGTCCACTTTTTTTTCTGTTTGTGAAAGAAGGAAATGTATTTACAAATACTCTATGAGCAGAGACATATGTCAGAGTGAGAAAGTTAAGCAGGGAAGGACAATCTTCAGTCACAGACTCACTGAGTTTACTCAGGAAGACAGCAAAAATTCCTCCCTGGACTCTAGTCACAAATAGAACTCTCAGCAAGACAAAAAGCAAATAGAAAACACACACACACACACAACTGTTTTCCTTTGGGTGCATTTTGTTATTTTGTTGCAACTCTAATTGGCAGCAGAAGGGTAGGTTTGGGAAGAAATCTGGCGATGGAGTTACACCTGTCTCAAAGTATTTGCATTGATGCTTAGGAAAGTGTGGATTTCAGTTAGTTGATCTAAAAATTGGAATGCTGTGGAATACTTATACATGCCTCTAAGGCATCGGTCCAAATTGGCTGATGATGCATCTTAATTTTGCAGAGTACAACATCTTGAATCTTCCAACTACACCCGTGGTTATCTGTTTAACAGTCAAAGACAGTAGAGCCCAATCCCAGCAAGTCTCATCTATGAGTATGTATTTCTTTTTCTCTATTTATTTGAAAGGTAGAATGACTGCGCGAGAGGGAAACAAAGATGCCCACCCTTCTTTTTCATTCTTTAAAATCTTTTCCATGATGATTCTCCTTCCCTGACACTTGCTTTTATTTCTTGTCTACTTTTGCAGTTTCGCTTTTTACCTTCTCCCTGGACCTTTATTTCACACCTTCAGTAGAACTGTAACTGAGAAGTTCCATGGGTATAACTTCACCGTTTGAGAGTCTATCCCTAAAAAAGCTGCTGTGTTGTGGCTGTCCCTTCCACAAACATCTTCATGATCCCACAGGCTTCTTCTGGGTGCTCATCACTCCAGAGGCAGCTGGTGCCTAACCACGTGGCGCTCGCTGACAAGTTGGCGAGGCGGGTAATTAAGCCATAGTGCTGGGACAGCAGATAAGATCCAGCCATCAGTCAGATTCTCAGGGAAGGGAAGCCTTCCTGGAAGTGACATTTGAGCTAAAAACAGAGCACATACAGGAAATGAATCTTTTCCTTTTATCTCTTTGATTGTGAGTGCTTACTGGTGGGGCCGTGCCTACATGAATCAGCTTCCAGGAAATCAAGTACAAGAACTCTAGGTCTCATCTTTTCTACTCCACTCCCCCTCCATCCATTAACAATCAACCGTGCATCATTTATGAGTGTTTATAAATTCTCTGATTCTGGTTTCTTGGCTGCTGGCTCAAGTGGGATCTTTTTCAGTGCTAAGGCTTCAAGATAAATCATGTCAGGAGGCTGTCCCTGGCTTTTTAAAGTGGTTTATGTGGCAGTAATAAGAGACCTATCATTTTAATAGATAAACATGCACTCTATCACTTTTGCTGAGAAACTGTTGGGACTGGGACCAGGATGGGCAGTAGAACAATCTATTAACTCTTTGTTAGCTGTGGAATGTTTCAGACAAGGTGTACAAACTTTATATTATAGAATCAGATCGGGTACATGAGGCCCAAGAAATTATAGAGAAACCATATGGAATCCCCTACTTCAGTTAATAGTCAAGAATAGGTGAACATTAAGGTCCAACCAGATGCACAACAACAGGGAGCTAAATGATTTTTGGTTTTGCTCTTCCTTCCTACACCTTTGCTCATCTCTAGGCGAGACCACCTTGGATGTCTTTCCTATTTGGCATTCACACCATTGGGGACGATGTATCCATCAGGGTATTCAAACAAAGCCGGGTCGTATGGCTACACATGAAGGAATTATAATACCTCATTCTATTCAAATGTTGTGGCCAGGGCTGTTTATATAATGTGTGAGGCACTGCTAGAATCCTTCAAGAAAACCCCAAACAAAAGAGAATCCAAATGTTGTGGTGGGAACAGACCCGCTTCCCTACATCATTCGAACAATCAGCAGTGGCTTGTGGGAGCAAAATCCTTGCCAAGATGGTTTTAGGAGGCAGACTTGGAGGGTTGCTTTTACCTTGGGAGTGACTTAGACACACACTGAACTGACTCACTTATGTTTGGTATATATTTAATATATTTGATGTAAACAGAGGGCCCATCGGAAAAGAACTGTGTGCCAGAAAATTATAGAGCTTTGGCGATTTCTTCTTTTTCTTCCTTTGTGGATTTGCTACTTGTAAAAGATGCTGGATCAACAGCCCTGCATCTGGAATCATGTATGCACAAAGCCAATTCTAGCAGTTCAACTGTGCCATCCAACCAATAGACTTCAACTAACCATTTATTCACATAATATATCAAAGACCGTGATTGCCAGTGTTGGAGTTACGGGTACCTGCACAACAAAATCTATGCCTCCTTTTCATGGCCTCAGATGTTTCTTTCCCCCTCTTTCAGAGCAACTGACCATACAAGTAGGTGTCAGTAACAGCCAGTTGGGAAAAAAAAAAAAAAAAAGAAGAAACTACTGGAGATATTTTGGACAAAAGAAATACCATACTGTGGGTTGGTTGTGAAGGTGTTGGAAGAGCTGGAACAACCAAATGAGGACAGAAGGGTGGAAGAGCAAAGAGAACACAGGATGGATACCCATGTATCAGAAGCTGTTAATGGCTGTGGGTCGGAAACCCTGGGCTAACACCTGCCAAGGCACTAGTAGAGAACTTTGGCTGTTGTTTCTAGAACTCTGAAAAAGTGCTGCCTGGGCATGGGCAGCTGGTGACAGGAATGACCGGAACTCCACTATTCGCACAGCTGTTGCCAACAACTTGTAGCAACTGATGCATTGTTGAAGGGAAGGGGAAACAGGAAGTTTCTCTCCTTCCTCCTTCTTCTAAGGCCACCCTCCACCACCACCACCACCATCAGTGCCCTTTCCTGGCAGAACCTAACAGAAAGCTAGCTGGAGACCAGAACCCAGGAAATGCAACTAGCTAACCCCAGCGTCCCAGGGCAGACACCAGAAAGGCCACATGTGAAGCCAGAATCCATGGGTAAGTAACCAACCCAGTGAGAACAAAAAACCCCATTTAGCACAGTGGTTAAGATGCCTCTTGGGAAACCCACATCCCACGTTGGAGTAGCTGAATATCCATGCCTGAGTTCAAGTCCCAGCTCTGTTCCTGATTCCAGCTTCCTATCACTGGACACCCCGGGAAGTAGCAGGTAATGGCTCAAGTATTTGGGTCCCTGCCATCCACAGGGAAGACCCAGATGGAGTTCTGGGCATCTGACTTTGGCCTGTTTCAGCCCCAGCTATTGGGTGCATTTGGGTAGTAAACCATCAGGTGGAAGATCTCTGTCCGTCTGTCCATCTGGATAGCTGTCTGCTTCTTTGCCTTTTGCATAAATAAATAAAAAGTTTTAAAAAGACACGTTAGGGGCCGGCGCCGCGGCTCACTAGGCTAATCCTCTGCCTTGCAGCACCGGCACACCGGGTTCTAGTCCCGGTCAGGGTGCCGGATTCTGTCCCGGTTGCCCCTCTTCCAGGCCAGCTCTCTGCTGTGGCCCGGGAGGGCAGTGGAGGATGGCCCAGGTGCTTGGGCCCTGCACCCCATGGGAGACCAGGATAAGTACCTGGCTCCAGCCATCGGATCAGCGCAGTGCGCCGGCCGCAGTACGCCAGCCGCGGCAGCCATTGGAGGGTGAACCAACGCCAAAAGGAAGACCTTTCTCTCTGTCTCTCTCTCTCACTGTCTACTCTGCCTGTCAAAAAAATAATTAAAACAAAATAAAAAATAAAAAAAAATGAAAAAAAAAAGACACGTTAGGTATTCTTTTAGTCTAAATCAGAAACTGCTCCTGGAAACATGCGGGAATGGAGAACTGTAAGCCTCTCAGATCTTTCGGCTCAAGTGGGATTTACAGAAACTCGAGAAAACACCTCTCTCATTCACAGGGCTCTTAAAAGATGCTGTTCACTTGTCGTGCGGGAGCCATCACCACAGCGCCACAGTAAAGGGAGACCTCAGTCAGACACTGCCGCTGTGCTGAGCCCTCCTCGTGTAGTCACGGTTTGAAAGACACAGAATTGTAGAATGCAGTGTCAGCCCTGAAGGAGTTCACAATATGTTTGCAGGAACGTCCGGGACCCTCCCAACCTCGCACCTGCTCATTGCGAGGGAGACATTTGACCGTCTGCCTCCTGAGCCATGTTCTCTCTGTGGTACCTACAGCTGCCTCTGGCAAACTTACCCCTCATCCCCACTCCACTGCCCGCTTTAGCTAAACCATCCTTCAAGATTCGGCTTGAGGCCACTGCCCCAGGAAGCTTTCCCTTATTCCCAGCCCCGGGAGAGGGACCCACCATACTCTACCCCTCTCCTACCAGAGCGTTTATCACACTGTACCATCCCCCTGAGCTTCCAACCTGAGAGCACCCCTGTAAGTAGGTGTGTGTGGCCGCCAGAACAAACAGGTTAGAGGAAAGGCCAGCTTGAGACCCACTCAGGCTTTGAAGTGGCCAGGAGAGACCTGAGGCAGCCGGAGCCCTCCTGCCGCCATGGTACGTGCAGCCCACGAACCTCCACTATGGGCATTCTGTAAATATCTGCCTGTGGCTGTGCTTTTGTCTCTGCAGTAAATTTTTTAAAATTTTTTTTTATTTGACAGAGTTAGACAGTGAGAGAGAGAGAGGGAGAGGGAGAGAGAGAGAGAGAGGTCTTCCTTCCATTGGTTCAGCCCCCAAGTGGCCGCTATAGCCGGTGCTGCACCAATCCGAAGCCAGGAGCCAGGTGCTTCTTCCTGGTCTCCCACGCGGGTGCAGGTGCCCAAGCACTTGGGCCATCCTCCACTGCACTCCCGGGCCACAGCAGAGAGCCGGACTGGAAGAGGAACAACCAGGACTAGAACCCGGCACCCATATAGGATGCAGGCGCCACAGGTAGAGGATTAACCAAGTGAGCCATGGTGCCGGCCCCTCTGCTGTAAATTTTACATTGGCCTAGGATTAGAATTATAAGGCTGAAGAAAGGATAAATAAGAGAAAGAGAGAGAAGAGAGAGAGAAAGAGAGAAAGCAAGCACTTCCTTCGGGACATGACTGAACATTCCGACGTTAGTGTCTCAGAGGCAGTGGAAAATGCCACATCACCTCGGAAGTGAACTACAATGAAAACTAAGGTGTGTCTTCAAAGGAATGAATCTTCCAGAAGTCTGCACATTCCATTTGATAGTCAGCATCTATATAAGGAATATGGGAAGATAGAGACAGCATTAAAAAATCAAATTACCCTCTGAAAATAAAATCGTTGTTTACGGGAGTATCAGTGAAACTCCAAGGCAATCTCCGCAGGATGCATGGCAAGCCTAGTCTTTTAAAAATACTTTAAAGACCTTTTGCCAGCAATTTGTTTTGTGTACTTAACAAATGTGTACTGGAGATATGCATTATGAGAGTGGATTGCATCTGCTTCTGTATAGGAACAGATGTTTACATCCCATCCTGGGGGTGAAGAGGGTGTCAACAAGTCATTCCCAGGTTAGGGAGCAAAGAAACATTTCTTTGCAATTTTAAAACCTATTTTCACCTTTTTTCTTTGAAAGGCAGAGAGACAAAAAGAGTTCTTCCATTCACTGGTTCAGTTCCCATTGCCCACAACAGCCAGGACTGGGTCAAGCTGAAGCCGGGAGCCAGGAACTCTGTCTGGCTCTCCCACATGGATAGCAGGGACCCACGTGCTTGAACCATTGTCTGCCACCTCCCAGGGAGAACCTTAGTGGGAAGCTGGATCAGAAGCACAAGAGCCAGGACTGGCACCCAGCACTCCAAGATGGGATATGGGCATCTCAAATGACAAGCCAGCAGCTATGCCACAGGTCTGCCCCAAACATATAATTTTAAAAGAACTGTAAAAAAAAAAAACCTGAACACAGCTGAGTTACAACACAGAGGCCTCAGTACAGAGCAACCCAAGTCTTGTGTCAGCGGGTTCCCCTTCCTTGGCATCTCAGGCAGCTTCATAGCCTCGGGCTGTCTTCCACCCTGCCCGCTCTGCTTAACTCAGAGCTGACTTGTGTCACCAACTGAACAGTTGCTCCAACCTTTCATCACTGAGAACCTTTTGTTCCCGTTGGTTTTCCTCCTAAGGACTCCACATTATAAGCCTTTGTATACCAAATAAGCAAATTTGTTGAGTATCATTTTTCTACCATTAATCAAATTAGACACATACTCAGAAATTTAACTTAGGACAATGAGATGGCTAACACAAAGATGGTCAGCCGTGTACAGGAGACAGACCTTAACTTTTGGATCCTTTTCTGTAGGGATGATTTAAACTGGACTGAGGCCAACAGAAACCATTGAATCTCTTCTCTGATGGCCTTTGCAGCAAAGATAGGCAGTTTTGTTCAGTGTCTGAGCTGAGGCAGAAGCAGAGGATGGAGTAAGGCAGAAGCCATGAGTGAACCCCAAGGAAGTCAAAAGACAAAGAGGCTAAGAAAGGGGCCCATCAGAGGGAAGCAGCAGCAAATTAAAGAAGCAGAGGGCGAGAACTTGCAGCACAAGGAGGCAATTGCTGGAACTGTCCTGGAGCCCCCGTTGCTGTGGGACAACGGGCATGTCTGCCACTAGCAGGATGGGGACAGACAGCTTTGAAATTACCCATGAGGCTGCAGGCCATTCCTTTTTGGATTCCTGCTCTTCTCCAGGGGGCCATCAGAGGACTCTGTGTGAAAGGCAGTCCAGAGGGGCCGGGTAGCTAAGGAAGGGCGCCAGGTCTTCGTAATAGGGCTTGACTGTTTCCTGTGCAGGACCCTGAGTTCTTACAACATCACATGCACAAATAACAAGACATTCTAGAGTCAGAGGTACCCACATACTTTTTAGATTATTCATGGTTTATGCAATGTGCTCTGTTATTCCATACTCCTGACACCCATTAGTTGAAAAAAAAAAAAGAACGCAATTTTATATTCATTTTGAAAGTTGAATTTAAGAAAATTGGGCTTGGACTGAGGGGTAGAGTGATCAAGATTCCTAGTCTCATCAAGGCACCTGAGATTCAATCAGGCCAGGATCTAATAAATGTGCGACTTATCAATACAGATTCTAAAACTGTCATGTAGAGAATGAAAATGATCTATTTCTAGTAAGTGTGATCATAATTTTCCATTCCATTCATTTCAGTGAAAGCCAAAATGCTATAAAAGGATTAGATCACTCAAATAAATCCTCTTTCATTTTGGCATTCACTGGAATCAGCTGGATGATTTTTTAAAAATCATTTTCTAAATTTTCTAACCTGAATCCTATCTCACTGTCCACCTTTATATTGTCATTTAGCAATAACAGAGTCAGATGTATGGGAAGCTGCACTCTGAAACCTCTAACAGGATGTGCAGTTGGCACCATGGGCTTGTCATGAAAAACTATCAGAGAACTATTTCTCACTAATGGAAAAATAATTGTGATTGTATTGGGAAGGTATCCAAAAGAAAGACCTTAACACAAAGACAACTGGATTTCTATTAGAAAAAAATCTGGTAACAGTAAAAAAAGAATTCTCCTCAACCATCTAATGATCCTTATATCTTGTTGTATCATTGCTCTTCTATAAAATGGCATTATATTTTAGTGCCCAATAAGTGGTTTAATAATTATAAAAGTGCCCTCTACTCAACAACCTGAAAACATTCCTCTTTTCAACTAAAGTGTCAAGTTTGCAGTCAAAGTCCATGTGCCGGTGTTTGGCCCAGCAGTTAAGATGCCTGTCTCCCACATCAGAGTCCCTGGGTTCAATTCCCAGCTCTGGCTCCATCTTCCTATCAATGAAGATGCTGGAAGGCAGCAATGGTTCAAGTAGTTGGGCCCCTGCTATCTTTGTAAGACTGTGCAACACCAGAGATGAGTTCCTTGCTCCTGACTCTGGCTCCAACTGTTGCAGGCATTTGGAGAGTGAACCAGCAGATAAAAATATTCTCTCTCTCTCTCACTTTCTACTGCTTGAAAAAGAAAGAAACAACTAAAGAAGAAAATAAAAGAAAGAAGAAAGTAATAGGGGGGAGAGAGAGAGAGAGAGAAGAATATGCACCAATTTCTTGAGCGTCCAAGCATCAAAGGAAAGACCATCATCTTGGCTTCTGGAGAAAGGAACAAACATTGAGGAAGCTACTTTTTAGAGGACTTTAGTGCTTGCCACAGTTGTTATTTACTTACATTTCATATATTTCCTGTTTAAAGACTTACTGAGTGTTTTCCTTGTAATAGGACCAGGCACTGCGTGGTGCACACAGCTGACTGTGGCTCTTCCTTGTGTCTGGAATGTAGAAGGGCAGGACTATGGCAAGAACAGAGATCATACAGAAAGAGTGGGATTGGAGTGAGCTGTGGGTTCTGGGTGGAGGCTGTGGAAAGCATTTGGACTATATTCAGTAGAATGCGAAGCCACTGGGGAGCTTTGACAATGACATGTTTGGAGATGCCGGTCAGAAGACCCTCCTGGTGACAGCCACACGGTGAGTTGGAGGAGAAGGAGGCTGGCTCCTCTGAGCGAGAGCTAACTAGTCCCGATGGGCCTGGGGCTGCTGAAAGGACAGAAGAGAGGAGGAAGGCCAAGCTGGCAGTGAGATTTTGAGCCCTGCGTCAGGGCTCATGGTGGCATTCTAAACCAAAGCAGAGGGCACAGCAAAGCTGTCTGGGAGAAGATGACTCAGCCTTGGCTCTACTGGCACCGAGTTACTAAGAGGTTGTC